TGCCAGGCCCTGTTCTGAGCTCAGGGGTCCTGCGAGGCAGAACTCTGCCTCGAACACCGCCCCCAACAGGCTGTAAAAGGAAATGCAGGGAAGGGGCTGCCAGAGCCAGCATCGGAGGACCCCCGTAGGGCACCTGCCTCCTCTCTGTGAACCAGGCAGACAGAAAGTCCTTCCCTGGGTGGGGGGCTTACTGGAGGAGGAAGAGAGTGAACAGTTCAACCAAACAGCTGTTTTTAAAAAAGAATAATTTGATTTTTAGAGAGAGAGAAACATTGATGCGAGAGTGCAACATGGATCGCTGCCTCCTGCACACCCCCTGTCTGGGATCAAGCCTGAAACCCGGGCATGTGCGCTTGACCAGGAATGAAGCGGGAATCAACCTGGTGACCTTGTTGCACTCACTGGATGACGCCCAACCAACTGAACGAACCACAACTGTCAAGGCCAAGCACTTAAAAAAAAAAAAAAATCCCATTTCCCCACCCCTGCCCTTTGGTGACCATCAGTTTGTTCTCTATATCTGTGGGTCTGTTTCTATTTTGTTTTGTTCATTTATTTTGTTTTCTCTGTGATTCTTATTCATGCTAATGTTCTGTGGTATCCACGAACATGAAATTAGCAAATACTTCAAGCCTCTGGTCACAACATTTTTGTCAAATGATCAATCTGTCACTTTGTTTTATGTGTGTTTGTTTAAAGCCACCTTGTTGATATATACTGTTGATTCGTTAACATTGAGCTCACGGCCAGCGGCACTAGAACTCACCTGAAGAAAGCCCATTCAAATATACGAATTTTCTTTACAAGGCACATTATAGATCAGGAATACTGGCCAGCATTGAGCGCCACGCCGGGGGACCAGGCGGTGGGGTGAGAAGCAAGGTCAGATGGAACAGAGGGGGCCTAGGGTGTAGGACCTTGGGGTCCAGGGTAAGGACCCTGCCCAGGCCGGAGCCGCAGGATGGTTCTGAGCGGAGGGCTGTGAGCGGACAGGTTCTCGGGCTCCCTCTGGTGGCCGCGAGGGGCAACGGACGCCAAAGTGGGATCAGCCCGGCGAGATCCCTGCCATAGTCCCGGCGGGAGGTGGCGGCTGGACTCTAGCGACGCGCGTGTCCTCTGCAAACCTCTGAGAATATCGGTGATGGGGAAGCTGATACATGGGGTCTCCTAGCGATGACCCCCCCCCCACCTGCCTAGCTGTACACCTACTTCCCCCACGTGTAAAATAAAGCACTGAAGGGGAGTGGCAGTTCCTAACATCTTTGGATCCCCGCACGCTCCGGGAAGACCCCACGAAGCCACGCAAAAAATAAAGTTTGCCCGTGATTTCCACGGGCTCCGGGCCTCGGTTCTGGGAGGCTGGCCGCATGCAGCTGGAGCAGAGGGACAGGGTAACTGACGTTTGTGGAGCACGCCTGCTGGGCGGGGCTCCAAGCCCTTCCTTCACCCGCGTCTCAGTTGGTCCTCGGCGTGGAAATCCGCAGCCCCATCTGCAGGTGAGCAAACCGAGGCCCCGGGGATGCAGCAAGAGGCGGCCGGGCTACGAGCCGGGGCGGTCTGGCTGTGAGCTCACCATCTGCACCTCTGTGCACCCAGCTTCCAGGGAGCCAGGGCTGGGGGGCAACAGCGAGGCCTTTGCAAGTGGGCAGCACAGGAGAGAGACCCCCCTTCCCTGGCCCCTGGGGAAGGGACACAAACTGATCTCAGTTCCTACAAAGTGAGCCTTGGGGACCAAACTTGTTAGATACCATTCCCAGATCCTGGGAACAGCTTGGTGGGTGTCTGTGGGGTCCCCCTTTCCACAGCTGAACCATCTGGAAAAAGAGCCCCAGAAAGGTTACCTCAGGGTCCAAGTAACCTGGGCACAGCAGGATTGGAACCCAAGACTGACAAGAATCCAAAGTTCATTGAGTAACTCCGAGGTTACGAAGCATAAAATTGATCAATTTTGCCCTTTTTAAGTACACAGTTCAGTGGCATGAAATACGTTCACATTGTGTAACTATTGCCACGATCCGTCTTCAGAACTTGTTACATCTTGCAGAACTGCAAGTCTGCCCGTGAACCAACACCGCCCATTCCTCCGCCCCAGCCCTGCACGACATTCCGCTTTCTGTCTCGAATCTGACTGCTCTAAGCACGCATATGCATGAAATCATATAATATGTGTTCTTTTGGAGCTGGCTCATTGCACTTGGCATAATGTCTCCAAGCTCCATCCATGTGGTAGAATGTGCCAGACTTTCTCCATCCAGTTTTTTTTTTCCTTTATTGATTTTTTTTTTTAGAGAGAGAGGAAGTGAGAGGGAGAGAGAGATAGAAACATTGATGAGAGAGAACATCCATTGGCTGCCTCCTACATGCCCCCTACTGGGGATCGGGCCTACAACCTGGGTATGTGCCCTGACCGGGAATCGAACCGGTGACCTCTTGTTGATGGGTCGAAGCTCAACCACTGAGCCACACCAGTCGGACTCTTCATCCCGTTTTGACAGGTGAAAAAGAGGGAGCTAGGAAAGAATCTGAGCTTGTGCCTTGGGGAGGGGGCTCCAGAGGCTAAGAGGGCATCAGGGACAACACTGGGGACAGATCTCCGAGAGTCCCCGACTCCTAAGGCAGGGAGACAGCCAGGTGAGACAGCAGCCCCAGTTATCAAGGACTCAAAGAATGTGTAGTGAGGCCCGGCAGTGTCCACCAGGGGCCTGTCACTCCACTGACCCCTTCCCAGAATAACGCCTTAAAATACATGAAATAAAACCCACAGGATTACAAGAGAAGCAATTATACTGAAAGACAGTTATCTGTTTATTAAGAAACTCACAAATCTGTGACACGCCAATAAGGGCTATTAATTAGATAGAGTTGGCAGTGGGTTTGGGTGGTGGTGAGTAAATCGTTACTGGAAATCATTTTTAAAAAAATATTTTATTGATTTTAGAGAGAGAGGGAGAGAGAGATAGAAACATTGATGAGAGAGAACATCCATTGGCTGCCTCCTACATGCCCCCTACTGGGGATCGGGTCCACAACCTGAGCATGTGCCCTGACCGGGAATCGAACCGGCGACCTCTTGGTGCATGGGTTGACGCTCAACCACTGAGCCACACCGGCCGGGCTGGAAATCTCTGAAACAACCGAAACATGATGGAAACTGGTGAGTGCCCTCGGGGACAGTGGTACAGGTCCTGCTGATGCTGCTGTGTCTGGCGGCTCACACTGAGTTTCAGTGTAAAGTCCAGGAGTCGTCATTTTTCCCGGGCCAAGTTCCCAGACCCTCCTGAATCCTGTCTGCAGACAGACGGGGAAACTGAGGCTGAGAAGCCCCAGGGGAAGCTGAGGCTGAGAAGCCCCACTCCTTGGACCAGACAGACTCTGCTTTCTTTCTTTTCTTTTTTTTTTTTTTATCCTCACCCGAGGATATTTTTTCATTTTTTACTCAGATAGAGCAGGAAGGAGAGAGAGGAAGAGAGAGAAACATCGATGTGAAAGGGACACATAGAGTGGCCGCCACCCACACGACCCAACCAGGGCCGGGGCCAAACTGCAACCGAGGTACGTGCACTTAGCGGGAACTGAACCTGGGTCTCTCTGGACCACAGGCCGACGCTCTAACCGCTGAGCCAAACAGGCCAGGGTAAAGCAGATGGTTTTTAAGCACCTGCTATGGACCAGGCCCGGTGCTCAACCCTGAACAATCTCTCTGGGTCTTGTGACCCCACGTCTCCAGGACTCAGTTGCCTCACCTGTACAATGGGAATAATAATACCTGCTTCTCAGGAATAGTCTGAGAATTCAAAGAGCTTAGAGCAGTGCTTGCACATAGAAAGTGCTCAGTAAACGTTAGGGATTCATTCAACGAATATTTACCGAGCCCCTTCCGGATGCCAGACACTGTGCTAGGCCCCGGGGCACAGCAGCCAACCACCCCGTTGGAAATCCCTGCCCTCGTGGGGCTCCTGTTGTTGTGAGGGAGACAGTCACTTAAGCAGAGAAATGTGGAAAATGTAGAGTGATAAGAACTGTGGAGAAAAATAAAGCAGCCATAATGGCCAGATGGTGGGTACTGCATTACATAGAGAGGCCAGGCAGGCTTCTCTTGGGAGGTGGCGTTTGAGCAGAGACCTGAAGGAGAGGAGGGAACAGGCCATTCCTTCCAGGTGGAGGGAACAGCAAGTGCAAAGGCCCTGGGGTTGTTGGTGTGTTGGAAGAACAGCCAGGAGGCCTGAGTGACTGGAGGAGTGAGCAGGGGGGAGGGGAGCAGGGGAAGGGGCAGAGGGACCTGTGGATGCTGCAGGCCATCCTGGGGGCCTTGTGGGCCACCGTTTTGGCCTTTCACTTTGCCTGAGAGAGAAGTCAGGGAGAGTTGTGAGCAAAGGAGTTTCCTTACCTCACTTAAGTCTTTTTTTTTTTTTCCTAATTCTCACCTGAGGATATATTTTAGTGATTTTAGAGAGCCAGGGAAACATTGATGTGAGAGAGAAACATCGATCGGTTGCCTCCCATACCCGCCCTAACTGCGGCTCGAACCCAAAACTTCTTGGTGCATGGAATGACGCTCCAACGACTGAGCCTCCTGGCCCAAACCCCTTGTCTTTGTTTGTTCCAACCAGGGCCGGGGACAAACTGCAACCGAGGTACGTGCCCTTAGCGGGAAGCGAAACCGGGTCTCTCTGGACCGCAGGCCGATTCTCTAACCGCTGAGCCAAACCTGCCAGGGCAGTCCCTTGTCTTTTAATTATCATCATTATTGTTGCTGTTGTTATTCTTTTCATTCTCATGTGAAGAAGGATGGCAGAGATCAGGGAGTGGCCCGGGCCCCAGGTGGGGGTAGAAGTTGAACCTGGAATGAAAACCCCGGCTCTTACCCGCCTCGCGAAGGCGCCCTCCCGCTCGCCACCAGGGGGCGCCAGAGGCAGGGCGCCGGGTTTGGGGAGGGGGGGCGCCTCGTCCCGCCCCCCCGCCCCTCCCTTCCCTCCTCCTGGCTGCAGGCCCCACCCGGCTCACACGGCTGCGGACGGGACCGTGAGCACAGGCCGCTCCGCGGGCGCCTCTGATCCCCGCGGGACCCCCGCCCAGCCCGCCCGGCCTGTCCAGCTGCCCGCGCGCCCCATTGGTGAGTGGCCCCCGACCGCGGCTGTCGCCACCCGGCCCCCGCCCGACACCCAGCCTCGGAGCCTGCCCTGGCTCCCGATCAGTCCCCTGCTCGCCCAAGACCCTCAGCCCCAACCCGAAGCGTGTAACTGTCTCCCCGGGGTCCCCAGTCCCTCATGAAAAGTGAGGGACTCCCCTTACTTAGCCCGGTCCAGTCTGTGACAGGGTCCCCCACTGTCGCGTCTCTCCCAGTCTTGCCCAGTCGCCCCCACTCCCCCCAGTCGCTCTCAGCTCCCCTCCCCATCCCCTCAGCTGGGGGGGATCCCCTTCTTTGAGTTTCCCCCCACCGCCCTCATCCATCTGGGCTCCAGCTGGTCCTCCTCCCGCGCAAGAGCTCCTCCCTTACCTCCGACCCCGTCGCCTGTCCAGCCACCCCAAGGGTCCTTCCAGAGATGTCCCCCAGCCCCTCTCCCTAGGACACTGCCCAAGCCTCCCTGTCTCTGCCGACCCCCCAGGTCCCAGCTCCTGCCTCTTCTTTACCCCTCCTTTTCCTTTTTATTAAAAAATAATCATTATGATCGTATGGATTTTTCACATATTTGATTTGCTCAACTTGTCCGATCTTCAGCCAGTGGGAGTCCCTTCAGGCTGGGTCCTGTGTTCCTGTGACAAGCCCCCTCCATCTGGAACGACTTCCCCACTATCTGATCTAGGCTTGCTAGTGGATAATGACATTTAGCAACTCCAATATGACCACAAGCTGGTTCTGTGAAAAGATCAGTACAATTATAAGCATCTACTTAAACTGATCAAGGGAAAAAATAATAATAAAGCAAAAACATAAATGACCAATATCAGGGATGAAGGAGGGTACATCACTACAGGTCCTACAGAGAACGAAAGGCTAGGAAGGGAACATAGAGAACACAGGCAGGGGGCAGGGGCTGCTCGCTGCTGCTGGGTTGGTCATTCTTTCTCTTCCTAAGTTTTGAGACCTGTGATAGGAGTGCAGGCTCTGAGGTCAGTTTGCCTGGAGTCCCCGCTTGAGCACTTTCTAGACCATTAGGCAAGTTATTGCTATCTTTCTAAGCCCCCATTTCCTGGTCAGAAAAGTGAGAATAATAATAGTCCTACCTTACAAAGCCGTTATGAAGATTAAATCAAGTAGAGCAGTGTCTGGCATACAATGATCATACATGTTGAGTTATTCTTCTTCTGAACGCCCAAGGCCCCTCCTGACCTGGGTGCACCCGGGCAATTTCTCAGCTTTATCCTCACCCCTTGTCCTCATGCCCCTGTGTCCAGCCATCCTGTCCACACATTTCACAGCTCCGGGCCTTTTCACACATCATCCTCTCTGCCTAAGTGCCCTTGTCATGCCCACTCTGCAGGGAGCAACTCAAAAGTCAGTCCAGCCCTGGCCGGTTTGGCTCAGCGATTAGAGCATCGGCCTGCGGTCCAGAGAGACCCAGGTTCGGTTCCCGCTAAGGGCATGTACCTCGGTTGCAGTTGGTCCCCAGCCCTGGTTGGGTCGTGCGGGTGGTGGCCACCTGATGTACCCCTTTCACGTCGATGTTTCTCTCTCTCTCTCTCTCCCTCCCACACTGTCTGAACAAAAAGTGGAAAAATGTCCTCGGGTGAGGATTAAAAAAAAGTAATAAAAAATAAAAGTCAGCCCAGCCAGAGCTTGTGGTTCTTGGGGCCAGTTCATCGTACCCCCTCTGTCCACTGCCTGGTATTTCCAGCCATCACTGACTGCTTGGTGCCCACGCCCTCTCCTCACGAGGAGCTCTGACTGGGTGGGAGCTGGTCTCTGGCCTATTTCTGGGTCCATCACTCCTGACACATGGAGTGATTTCAGTGACAATGTGTGAAGTGATGGAAGGGGAGAAGAGAGAAAGAAAGGAATGAAGGAATCTATGTCTTCTGGGCAGCTTCTGCATCCTTCCCTTTGTCCATTCCTTGGTCTTCCACCACCAATTCCCCTCCTTCAATCGGTCCACTCTCTCTTCCTCCAGCTGGAATCATCCCTTCCTCCTTCAGCCATCACCTCCTGCCACCCATCATCACTGCACGCTGCTCCCCCTCTGCGCAGTCCACCATCCTCTTCCCGGTCCACCTTCCAGCTCCCTTCCTTGTCCTCCTCCGCCGCCGCCACCTCCAGGCAGCCCTCCATCAACACCCTCTCCTCCTCCCGCAGGCAGCTCTCCCCCTGCGCATCTCCCTGGCTGGCGAGCCCCGTGGGTAGCGTGCAGCCACCATGTTCAGCTGGTTGAAGCGGAGTGGGGCGCGGGGCCAGCAGCCCGAGGCCATCTGCACGGTGACTTCGGCCCTCAAGGAGCTGTACCGCACCAAGCTGCTGCCCCTGGAGGAGCACTACCGCTTCGGAGACTTCCACTCGCCGGCCCTGGAGGACGCCGACTTCGACAGCAAGCCCATGGTGCTGGTGGCCGGCCAGTACAGCACCGGCAAGACCAGCTTCATCCAGTACCTGCTGGAGCAGGAGGTGCCAGGTTCCCGCGTGGGGCCCGAGCCCACCACCGACTGCTTTGTGGCCGTCATGCACGGTGAAACCGAGGGCACCGTGCCAGGCAATGCCCTTATTGTTGACCCAGAGAAGCCCTTCCGAAAACTGAACCCCTTCGGAAACACCTTCCTCAACAGGTGTGCAACCAGGGGGAGGGGCACCTTCCTGTCCCCGGCCCCTATCTCTATCCCTTCCCTCCCTGTGTTTTTCTCCTTTTTCAGCCCCAATTCTCTCTCTCTGTCCAAACCCTTCCTTTCCTGCCTCTGCTCTTCTGCTTGTCCTGGGGGAGCCAGCCTGCCTGGGTTCCACTCCTGCGCGCCTGGGTTGCCTTGAGCAAAGGGCTTGACCTCTTCTGTGCCTCCCTTATCCTCATCTGGAAAATGGGGATAACCGTAGGCCCCGTTCCACAGGATTGTTTCAAGGACTAAATGAATTATAAGATATAAAAGTGCGGAGAACAGCACCTGGCACACAGTATGTGCTCAGTAAACACAGCTCTGAGGTTTTTTTTTAAGTTTTTATTCTCTGTCCTGTTCTTCCTTTTCTCTTTAAGTCTTCCCTTCTCTGACCTGATCTAACCTCTGTGCAATCCTGGTTTCCCTTCTTTTGTGTGCTCTTCTCCTGTCTCTCCCTGCATTGACCCCTGCCCTTCCTTCTACCCCAGGTTCATGTGCGCCCACCTCCCCAATCAGGTCCTGGAGAGCATTAGTATCATTGACACCCCGGGCATCCTGTCGGGTGCCAAACAGAGAGTGAGCCGAGGTGAGTGAGGCTGAACCTGAGGGAGGAGGGGCTGGGGGCCTGGACTCCTGGGTCTGAGGGGGGGAGGGTCTGGGGCCTGGACTCCTGGGTCTGAGGGAGGAGGGGCTGGGGGCCTGGACTCCTGGGTCTGAGGGAGGAGGGGCTGGGGGCCTGGACTCCTGGGTCTGAGGGAGGAGGGCTGGGGGCCTGGACTCCTGGGTCTGAGGGAGGAGGGCTGGGGGCCTGGACTCCTGGGTCTGAGGGAGGAGGGCTGGGGGCCAGGACTCCGGGGTCTGAGGGAGGAGGGTCTGGGGCCTGGACTCCTGGGTCTGAGGGAGGAGGGGCTGAGGGCCTGGACTCCTGGGTCTGAGGGAGGAGGGCTGGGGGCCTGGACTCCTGGGTCTGAGGGAGGAGGGGCTGGGGGCCTGGACTCCTGGGTCTGAGGGAGGAGGGGCTGGGGGCCTGGACTCCTGGGTCTGAGGGAGGAGGGCTGGGGGCCTGGACTCCTGGGTCTGAGGGAGGAGGGGTTGGGGGCCTGGACTCCTGGGTCTGAGGGAGGAGGGCCGGGGGCCTGGACTCCTGGGTCTGAGGGAGGAGGGCCGGGGGCCTGGACTCCTGGGTCTGAGGGAGGAGGGCCGGGGGCCTGGACTCCCGGGTCTGAGGGAGGAGGGCCTGGAGCCTGCACTCCCGGGTCTGAGAGGGGAGGGGCTGAGGGCCTGGACTCCCGGGTCTGAGGGAGGAGGGGCTGGGGGCCTGGACTCCTGGGTCTGAGGGAGGAGGGCTGGGGGCCTGCACTCCTGGGTCTGAGAGGGGAGGGGCTGAGGGCCTGGACTCCCGGGTCTGAGGGAGGAGGGGCTGGGGGCCTGGATTCCTAGGTCTGAGGGAGGAGGGGCCGGGGGCCTGGACTCCTAAGTCTGAGGGAGGAGGGCCTGGGGCCTGCACTCCTGGGTCTGAGGGAGGAGGGGCTGGGGGCCTGTACTCCTGGGTCTGAGGGAGGAGGGCCTGGGGCCTGCACTCCTGGGTCTGAGGGAGGAGGGCCCGGTCTCAGCCAGGACTTGCCCTTGCTCAAGTGGCCCTCAGCGGGCTGGAATGAAAAGGAGCTGGTGGAAGGGAGGCTATGAATCTCCCATGTTGGTGCACGTTTTGCAGGTGGGGGAGGCGGTGGGTGAACACGTGTGAACAGGCTGCAGCTGCACGTCTGGGCGGGCGGAAGGATCAGAGGGAGAGAATGAGAGAGAGAGAGAAACAGATAGGGAGAGAGACAGAAACAAATAGGGAGAGAGACACAAAGTCAGAGACAGAGAGATTCAGAGAGTGAGGCAGAGACAGAGACAAGAGGCCGAGCGTGGAGGCCGAGCCCAGCAGGGTGGCCCTGGGCACTGGGAGCTCCAGGCTGGGTCCGGGCCACGGATGGAGCGCAGAAGGGGCTGGGAGGGGGAATCTGGGCGGGGGCCAAGGTCGGGCCTGGAATTTATAAACAGCTGTGCAGGGGGAGCGGCGGGAGGCGAATTCCAGCGGGGCCTCCAGGGCCCGGCCCCACCGCTGCCCAGAGCTCAGCGTCTGCGCCCCGTACCCCCACCCCAGCGTTTTCGTCCCCCGCCCGCGCCTCGGAGCCAGGAACTGGGGCAAAGGAGGCTGCAGTGTGGGCCAGAGGGGACCGGGAGGCTGGGCGGCCGGGCAGGGCGCGGGCGCGGAGGTTACGGTGTCCCTGGCTGCGGCCCAGCAGGCGCGCGTCCCGGGGGGGGGGGGGGGGGGGGGGGGGGGGGGGCGGGGGGCAGCTGCAGAAGCGATTGGGAGGGCGCGCTGCCAGCCGAGGGGGAGGCAGGGGGGAGGCGGGGAGAGTAGAGAACAGGGTCTCCTTTCCTGGCTGCGGGATAGAGAGAGTGCACCGGAGTCCGTCTGTCTGTCCCAATGAGTTTGTGTGTGTCTGGGAGTCTGTGCCTGTGACTAGCTGGCTGTGACTTTGTGTGCCTCTGAAGAACTGTGGGGGACCGTGGGGGACTCCGAGGGACTGTGCGTGATTGCCCGTGATGGTATCTCTGTGTTCAGTCGTGTGCTGTGTGTGCAGGAGTGTGTCTTTTATGGGACTGTGTGTGATTGTGAGGATGCCTTGGGATCTGGAAGGGTGTGGGGGTTGCCTGTGTGAACTGTGGGTGTGAGAGTATGCGTCTGCTTGTGTGTGCGCGCTGGTGTCTGTTACTTTGTGTGGGTCTCACAGCGTCTTTGTGATTCGTGACCACGAATATCCGTGTAGATCCTAGGTTGTGAGCAAGAGTGTCTGCGAGTCTGCAGCTTGTAGCATGTGACCAGCACGCTCTGGTGTGCGGTGTGTGCAAGCACCCATGTGCATGAGCATTGGTGGGGCGCGTGGCCGCCTCTGTGTGTAATATCTGTGAATGTGTGTGTGTGTGACTGTAGCATAATGAAGCCCTCTGGAGGGGTTCAAATCTGGACTCTGCTACTTTTAAACTGTGGAACCTCAGTAAGCTACTTAACCTCCCCGTGCCTCGGTGTCCTCATCTATTAAATGGGATAATGATAGGATCAGCCTCATAGGTTGCACTGGGGGTAACCAGTGCAACCTGTGCCAAGTGTCAAAATGTGCAGAGCACTGAACGCGGTGTGTGACACACAGTAGGTGGTCTGGAAGTGTGACTTCCTCCCGTGTGAGTGCGCACGCGCTCAGCCGGGCTCTGCCACGTCTCCCATGCTCGTGCTGACTCAATCTCCCTCCCTCCTTCCCTCCGGCATGAGACACACTTTCCAAATCCGGCTGGTGTATGTGTTTGTGTAGACGCTGGGGAGGGAGGGGGCCGAGCTGTAGTCCCTCTGGTGACCCGGCCCTTCCTCCCCCCAAACAATGTCCCCCACCCTCCCATCCAGGCCCCAGCAGCTGCGAGGAGCCTGCTTCCTCCTTGGGAGGGTGGGCCCGGCACCAGCTCCCTGGCTGAGCATGGGGCCCTGGGGATCCTGCTCTGTCGCCTCTTACCTGTGCCTGTGCGTCTTGAGGAAATCCCTTAATCTGTCTGTGCCTCAGTTTCCTCCTCTGGAAAATGGAGGGCGTAAAAGTGTGTGTCTTCCTAGGGCTGTTTTGAAGGTTCAGTGAGGAATCTGGGAGTGTGAAGTGACACCAGTTAACGCCTCCTCCCCCAGGGGGCCAGTCCCTCCTCCCCCAGGGGGCCAGTCCCGCAGTTGGTCCTCCGAGAACCCTGCCCCCTCTGGGTTCTCATAGTTCCTTGGGCCTCCATCCCAGCCTGACCGCCCTGTGGACAGGTCTGTGTCCCCAGTGAACTGTGAGCCCGGTAAGGGCAGGACTGGGGCTGCCTGAGCAGGCCGTGTCCCCACGCAGAGCATCACTGTGGATGGTTTCTGACTCGAACATGCGCTCAGCACTGTTTTTTTGTTTGTTTGTTTGTTTGTTTTTTTAATCCTCACCTGAGGATATTTTTCCATTTTTTGTACAGATAGAGTGGGAGAGAGAGAGAGGAAGGGAGAGAGAGAGAGAGAAACATCGACGTGAAGGGACACATCGAGTGGCTGCCACCCGCACGACCAACCAGGGCCGGGGACAAACTGCAACCGAGGTACATGCCCTTAGCGGGAACCGAACCCGGGTCTCTCCGGACCGCAGGCCGACGCTCTAACCGCTGAGCCAAACCGGCCAGGGCTTTTTTGTTTTGTTTTGTTTTGTTTTGTTTTGTTTTAAAACAGTTTTACTGCCCTGACCCGTTTTGCTCAGCGGTTAGAGCATCGGCCTGCGGTCCGGAGAGACCCGGGTTCGGTTCCCGCTAAGGGCATGTACCTCGGTTGCAGTTTGTCCCCAGCCCTGGTTGGGTCGTGCGGGTGGCAACCACTCGATGTGTCACTTTCACGTCGATGTTTTTCTCTCTCTCTCTCCCTCTCACTCTATCTGAACAAAATATCGAAAAATGTCCTTGGGTGAGGATAAAAAAAACAAAACAAAATAAAAACAGTTTTACTGAGGTATAATTTACATGTCTAAAACGCACCCATTTAAAATGTCTAGTTCTGTGCCAGGTACAGTTTTAAGCTCCGTATATTCATTAGCTCCTTTACATTCTTTTCATCTTCACAACAGTCCTATAAGGTCGGTTTTGTTATGTTTTCCATTTTACAGAGGGGGAAACAGGCTCAGAGAGGTTTCCTACTTGCCTAAGGTCACACAGTGGATGTGGGCAAAGCCTGGATTCAAATCCAGGTCTTCCTGACTGACCTCTCTGCCCTCCCAGGCATTGCTGGGGAGCACACAGTGTGAGTGAACAAGTCACTGTGGAAATGAGTGGTGAGAGGCACGAAGGAATGAATGAACCCAATAGCCAGCAGCTGGCATACTTCACAAAGCACGGACCTGGTCTGTGTCCTCTGTAGGACCCAGCACACACCAAAACTCTCAGGAAATATTGATAAATACATGTAAACTAGTTAACATCTGCTAAGGCAAGAGCATAGGCAGGGCCAACCCGGACTCTAGTTGCTGCTGGACTGTGGTGGGATCCACAGGTCTGGGGTGGGCACTTGGAGGACTCGTGGTCCATAGAAGCACAGCTGTTAGGAAACACCAGTATTTTAACAACCTGCACATCCGGACCAATGCATACCACCAGTATCTGCTGAATGAATGAATGCAGGCATGCATGAATGGATGAATGAATGAAAAAGGGAAGGGGGGGTGATCGCCCCCTATCGCTAGATGGCTTGAGGGACTGGGGCCAGAGTGATGGGGGAAATACTGGGGGCTGTGGGAAGCCAGAGCCGTGGGATTTTGATGGTTAGCAACCTGGACCTCTGTCCAGTCCGTTACCATCCTGAAGGAATGAATGCCTCCGGGTGGCTGCAGAGTGGGGGCTGATCTGTCCCCTCCTCCCCCAGGCTATGACTTCCCTGCGGTGCTGCGCTGGTTCGCCGAGCGCGTGGACCTTATCATCCTGTTGTTTGATGCGCACAAGCTGGAGATCTCCGACGAGTTCTCCGAGGCCATCGGCGCCCTGCGTGGCCACGAGGACAAGATCCGCGTGGTGCTCAACAAGGCCGACATGGTGGAGACACAGCAGCTGATGCGCGTCTACGGGGCGCTCATGTGGGCGCTGGGCAAGGTGGTGGGCACGCCCGAGGTGCTGCGCGTCTACATCGGCTCCTTCTGGTCCCAGCCCCTCCTCGTGCCCGACAACCGGCGCCTCTTCGAGCTGGAGGAGCAGGACCTGTTCCGCGACATCCAGGGCCTGCCGCGCCACGCTGCCCTGCGCAAGCTCAACGACCTGGTGAAGAGGGCCCGGCTGGTGCGGGTGAGCAGCCCTGGGGGGCGGGGGGCGGTCGTGAGGGCGGGGCGGCAGGGGCCTCTCTAGCCTTCCTCTGCCGCTCCTTCACAGGCTGCTAGCCAGGGACTTGTCAGCTCGCAGGTGAGTTAGTCGTCTAATCTAAGCGAGCTCCTGGCTGGTCATTCTGGCGCAAAGTGGGCTGGGGAAGCAGAATCGCTCCTCTCTGCGTTCCTGTCTCTGTCTCTTTCCAGGTCTCCCTGTCTCTTCTCTGTTCTATTAGTCCTTCATTTACCACCGACACCAGCCAGACTGGACCATGTCCTGCCCAAGACTCCCTTCTCACCCAGCAAAAACCAAACCCTCTCTGTGGTCCACAGTTCACCCCTTGTGCCCTCCACCCCGACCCTGCTTTTCCTCTCTGTCCTCCAATCCCGCTCCCTTCCCATCATTCATTGCAGTTCACCCTGGCCTCCTCAGTTCTACCCCAGGGCCTTTGCACCTGCCGCCGTTTCCTCTTCCTGGAGACTTCCCCCTCCTTACTCACCCCTCTCCCACCTGGCTCACTTGTCACCTACATCCTTCTTGTTTTTACTCAAGCCACATGTCTCAGGAAGGCTTCTCTGTCTGCTCTCCTTTTCTATGAAAATAACCCCCCCCCCCCATGAGTCCTGCTTTATCCCTGTTGTAACTTTCTTCACAGCGGTCATTACTACATGGTCCTATGTTACCCATTCGTTGGGTTTCGGTGTTTATTGCTGTCTCCTCCATTCGAATTTATTTATTTATATATTTTTATCCTCACCCGAGGGCATTTTCCCAGTTTTGTTCAGATAGAGCGGGAGGGAGAGAGAGGAAGAGAAAGAGAGAGAGAGAAACATCGACATGAAAGGGACACATTGAGTGGCTGTCACCCACATGACCCCAACCGGGGCTGGGGACAAACTGCAACCGAGGTACGGGCCCTTAGCGGGAACCGAACCAGGGACTCTCCAGTCCACGGGCCGATGCTCTAACCACTTAGCCACACCAGCCAGGGCTCCTCCGCTGAAAGTTAAGCTCTACAGAAGCAGGGCTCTCCCTCTGAATGTGTTCCCTGCTGCATTCCCCAGTGCCTGGGACAGAGTTGGTGTTCGGTAGATATTTATTGAACGAATAGCATTAAGCAAAATCTCTTCTGTGCCTGGCCCTGTGCTGGGTGGTGCAGGGCAGCCCCATCCCCAGACAGTGAAGACCCAGCATGGTCAGAGCTGGGACTGGGGAGCCTGGGGGGGGGGCGGTCAGAGAAGGCTTCTTGGAGGAGGGGGCACCTGAGCTGCAGACTGGAGGCTGCGGACAAGGAGGGGAAGGGATTCTAAGCAGTGGGAGCAGCAGGCACATGGACTGGGGATGAGAACATGGCAAGTTCAAGGAAGCGGGGGAATGTCCACTGAATCAGTGCAGGCAGTACCAGTAACTGATTCTGAGGCTGGGTGGTGGGTGGGAGTCAGAGCACCCAGGGCTGTGGCCGGGAACCTGTGCTTTGTCCCAAGAGCACTGGGGAGCCATGGAAGGCTTCCGAGCAAAGAGGGGAGGGTACTGGGGAGCCACGAAAGGGTTCTTAGGGAGGGACACTGTAGACTCTAGCTGCCTTCTGGTGGATTCAAGGGTGGTGAGACTGGGGTGCAGACCAGGGAGGAGGCTGGGTACCAAAGAGAAAGGAGGGACCTAGATCAGGACAGGGCCATGGGAGGGAGGGGAGCACTGGTTTCAGAGTCATTTTGGAGGCCAAGTGGAACATTCGTGGGGGAGGCTGCCAGGGTGGAGGTGGGGCAGGAAGCTGGGAGGCCTAGAAGGTTAAGGAGCCAGAGGTGCTGGCTTAGGGATCAGCCCAGAGGGTGTGAGTCAGAGTCCCCACCCCCACCCCAGGAATCCTCATTGGGCGGGAGGGGCCCAGTGTGGACTGGAGCCTTCAGAATCCACCTTTCTTTCCTCCTCTGCCCAGGCTCTGGGCTGTCTCTGTCCGTTACTCTGTCTCTCTTTTCTCTGTCTCTACATCTACATCTACATCTACATCTACATCTACATCTACATCTATATCATCTATATCTATATCTATATCTATATCTATATCTATATCATCTATATCTATATGTCTATATATATATCTACATATATATATACACACACACATATATATCCTTATTTCTACCTTTTTCTCAGCTTCTCCCTCATTCTTTCTCCCTTTCTCTCCCCTCTCTGTCTCTCCCTGTGTCCCTCATTCATTCTCTTCCTCCCTTTTCCTCTCTCCTCTCCTCCCCCCTTTCCTGTTCTCTCTTCCTCTCTCTCCTTCAATCTCCTCTTCCTCCCTCATTCTTCTATCTATCTATCTATCTATCTATCTATCTATCTATCTATCTATCTGTCTATCTACCTACCTACCTACCTACCATCTATCTATTTCCGTCTCCGTCTTGCTCCCAGTCTCTGTCTCCCGGTGGTTCGCCCTCGCCCCTCAAGGACCCCCGGCCCCTTCAGGGAGGCAGAGAAGCAGGAGCTGGAGCCAGGGCCGCGGGACCGAGGGGCACGGTGGGGCCGGACACCTGGAGCCCCCGCCGGACAGGAGGCGGCTCCGGAAACCCGGACAAACCCCGGAGTCCGGGACCCGCGCCCTGGCCCACCCCGCCCTCCCACCTTATCTCTTCCTGGCACCTTCCCCCGCTTCCTCTCTGGAAAAGCCATCAGCGCCCTCCCACCTCCCCTCTTCTGGGTCCCCGAGGAGCCGCCCTAGACCCTGCCCCCTCGCCCCATTGGCTCGGTCTCACGGGCCACGCCCACCCGCCGAGCCACACCCCTGCCCTCATTGGCCCCTCGCGCCTACAGGCCACTCCTTCCCTTTCCTCCGCAGATCCATCTGTGGCTCCCCAGTGCCGCTCAAGGCACAGGGTCCACTGTAACCAAGCCTCGCTGCCCTCCCCTGCCCCATGTCACCTGCGCACTCCCCACGTATGATTCTGTCACAGGTGCTCCCACAAAGCCTTTCTGGACTCTTGGTAGCCTAGCCCTCTCCAGAGGCTGGGTGTGGATGAGGCCTGGCTCTGTCCTTCAGGGGAGCTGAACTGTGATACTTGAGGCCAAGGTCTTGGGAGGGTCTGAGTGTCGGGCCTGCATACCGACCCGGCCTGCATACCGAGCTTAAGCCCCCTGGCATTCATTTAACAAACAGCCCTGAGCGCCTGCGACCGGCCCCTTCACTGTTCCAGGCCCTGGAGATACAGCAGGGAGTGAGCCAGATAAAAGTTTCTTTCCTTGTAGAACTGCTTTAAGTGGATGTGAAATGAACCTGTAATGTTGTATGTGGTGAGAATTATGAAGGAAAATGAAGCAAACGGTGAGGCACTATCTCAGGGTGTTAGCCCGTGGAACAGGCTTGAACAAGGAGGCCAGGGTGGCTGGAGGTGATGGGGTGGTGGAGGTAGGAAGGGTGAGGATTCAGAACCAGCCAGAGTCACCAACATTTTTAGCATTCTAAACGTATGAGTCATTTAATAAGGGTGTTTGTTTTTTTTTTAATCCTCACCCAAGGATATTTTTTTCCATTGATTTTTAGATCAAGTGGAGGGGAGAGAGAGATCGATTAATTGCCTCCTGCATGCACCCCAACTAGGGCAGAATTGAACCTGCAACCCAGGTAGGTGTCCTGGACCTAGAATCAAACCCATGACCCTTAGGTGCTTCGCCTGTTGCTCCAACCACTGAGCAGTGCCAACCGGGGCATTTACTAAGTGCTTTTGAGTGAACATTGAAGACCATCTCATGGGGAAGCATTCCTGCTCTGTCAAACATGCCAGACCCCACCAGCTCCCAGGGTCTCTTCCCTGCAGCTCATGAGTACTTTCTTGTGCCTTTTCCTAGATATATTGGTTTTTATTTTTTCTTTATTGATTTTAGAGAGGAAGGGAGAGGGAGAGAGAAATAGAAACATCAATGAGAAAGAACACTGATTGGCCACCTCCTGCATGCTCCCCACTGGGGACTCGGCCCACAACCCAGGCATGTGCTCCCAAGTGGGAATCGAACCGGTGACCGTGCATGGGTTGATGTTCAACCACTGAGCCACACCGGCCGGGTATTACAGATGTCCCTCCTTCCCCCCCCCCCCATTGACACCCTTCTTCCTGCTCCCGTCCCTGCCCCCCCCTCACCACACTGTTGTCTGTGTCCATTGGTTGTGGATGCATTGTTTTTATTTGAGCATATACATTGAATTATTTAGCTTCCTATTCAAAACGGGACATAGTATGCTCTTATTCTGCCCTCTTTGTTTGTTTTTTGATAACATATGAGATTGTGGCTCAGAGGTTCCCTCGGTCACTGGATTGTTCTGCAAACAACTCTCGAGTGTTTTTGTGCACACTGTGCCAGTGCTGGGGACACAGGAACCAACAAGGTCCCAGCCCTCCTGGGCTCACATCTGATGCAGGAGAAACAAACCGATAGAGAAGTAAAGGAATGACGAATTCCGATACATGTGAACAAAACAATAAAGGTGAAGACAGAAAATAATTGGAGGCCCTGGCTGGTGCGTTCAGTGGTTAGAGCATTGGCCCAGGCACCAAAGGGTTGCGGGTTTGATTCCCTGTCAAGGGTACACACTGGGGTCAGGGCGCTTGCGGGAGGCCACCAACCAATGTGTCTCTCTCACATTGATGTTTCTCTCTCTCTTTCTGTCTCTCTCTCTCCTTCCCTCCCTTCCATTCTCTCTAAAAATCAGTGGAAGAGATATGCTTAGATGAGGATTAACAACAACAGCAAAAACAAGACAAAAATAATTGGATGGTGGAGGTTGGGGCACCTGATTCCCCTAGGATGGGCTGTGTGAGGAGGTGACCTCATAAGGAAGCGGAGGTTACTAGCTATAGGGAGCCGGGCCTGAGGCCCAGAGGTGGGAAAGGGTTGACATCTGGTAAACCCTGGAAGGCAGGTGAGGGAGCCGGAGCAGGGACCAGGGGTAGATACTGTCAGATGAAGCAGCAGGAGCCAAGTCAGGGAGAGCAGCGCCTCTCAAACCTTTCAGTCTCAGGACCCCGTTACACTGTTAAAAATTAGTGAGGACCTCCCCAGAGGATCTGTATGTAGGTGGACTAAATCTCTCTGTGCTGACCCTATTAGAATTTATAACTGCAAAAACAGCCCTGGCCGGTTTGGCTCAGCGGTTAGAGCGTCGGCCTGTGGTCCAGAGAGACCCGGGTTCGGTTCCCGCTAAGGGCATGTACCTCGGTTGCGGTTTGTCCCCGGCCCTGGTTGGGTCGTGCAGGTGGCGACCACTCGATGTGTCCCTTTCTTTCACGTCGATGTTTCTCTCTCTCTCTCTTCCTCTCTCTCCCTCCTGCTCTAGCTGAACAAAGGATGGAAAATTGTCCTCGGGTGAGGATAAAACGAACAAAGAAACAAACAAAACTGCGAAAACATTTAATGTTTACCTCATATTATTAACAAACCAATAACTAATAGTTGTATAATTACTGAGTAGTCATTTATTATAAATATTATCAGTAGGTTACTGATAATGTTCATTTATATTTGAAAATACCTATAATAGCCCTGGCCGGTTTGGCTCAGCGGTTAGAGCATCGACCTGCGGTCTGGAGAGATCCAGGTTCGGTTCCCGCTAAGGGCACGTACCTTGGTTGCAGTTTGTCCCCGGCCCTGGTTGGTCGTGCGGGTGGCAGCCACTCGGTGTGTCCCTTTCACATCGATGTTTCTCTCTCTCTCTGTTCTCTCTCTCCCTCCCACTCTACCTGAACAAAAAATGGAAAAATGTCTTCGGGTGAGGATAAAAATAATAATAATAATAAAATAAAATAAAAATACCTATAATAATTAATATTATAAGATCATGTAAAATAACAACAAATGGTCCTGTTCGGTTTGGCTCAGCAGTTAAAGCATTGGCCCACGGACCAAAGAGTTGCGGGTTCGATTCTGGTCAAGGGCACGTACCTCGGTTGTGGTTCAGTCTCGGCCCTGGTCGGGGTTGTGTGGGAGGCAACCAGTCGATGTGTCTCTCACTCTGATGTTTCTCTCTCTCTCCCTCCCACTCCGTCTGAAAGTAAATGGAAAAATATTCTTGGGTGAAGATTAAAAAAACAAATGTCAGTTAACCTAAGTAACATGTTTTATGAAAATTAACTATTTCCTAAACAAACAAACAAAAAAAAATGAGGAAGGACAGTGAGCCTGTTCTACATTCTCATGGCTGGCTTCCCATATCTTGTAGCCTTAAAAAAACTCCACTGTTCCCTCGGGAGGAAAAGACAAGTATAAAAAAGATAAATAGCGCCTTATTCTTCAAATGCAGTTAAATCTCGGTGCTAAGGTCTCCCGTCTGGAGCAGTTCACTTCACCCGACAAGCCTTCCATGCTGTAGGTGGTGTGATCAGTCAGCATCTCTCAGGCCACAGAGACGATGTACCAGGATGTGTCAGTGCACTGCATGTTCTAATGTCTCAGGAACTTGTACTGTGAATATTTTTTGTTTTTGTTTTTGCTGATTATTATTAAATTTTTTTTTAAATCCTCACCCGAGGGCATTTTTCCACTTTTTGTTCAGATAGAGTGGGAAGAAGAGAGGGAGAGAGAGAGAGAGAAACATTGATGTGAAAGGGACACATCGAGTGGCTGCCTTCCACAGGGCCCAACCAGGGCCGGGGACAAACTGCAACCGAGATACATGCCCCTAGCGGGAAACGAACCCGGGTCTCTGGACCGCAGGCCGACGCTCTAACTGCTGAGCCAAACCGGCCAGGGCTCCTTTTGTTAAATTTTTATTCACATTTCATGTCCTTCTATTTTTAAAGTTTTTTTTAAAACTTTTGCTTTATTTATCAATAAAACAGTACACTAGACATGTACTGTATATAAGAAAGGTTAAAACAGAGAATCATCTGAGGGTCTGGAACAGATTAATTCAATGTACATGATTTCTAATGAAAAAATGATTCGGTTTTTGAACAGCCTTCCAGAACGAATTTAGTTCGAGACCGAGGTTCCACTGTGCTTTTGATTGGGTGAACCCCTAAAGGGTCTCGGGCCCCCTGGGGTTCCCCAGACCACACTTTGAGAAGCGCTGCTGTAGGGCCTCAGCGGAATTCTGAACTTGGATGGAAAGCAAAGCGAGACTTTGGAGCAGCATCTCCCGGTCCCGTGTTTGTTCCTTACAAAACAAAACAACCCCTCCCCCCCAGCCTCCAGTGGCTGCTGCCGCATGGAGGGGGTTCATAGGGACCAGAGGAGAAGCCAGCAGACCGTGGGGTGACGTGTGTCTCCCCGGGCAAGAGATGGTGGCAGGCGGTGGCCCGCCGGAGGGAAATGTGAGAGGCCACGAGGAGGCCCCCGTGGGGCTGGCAGTGGCCGGTGAGGAGCGAGCAGATTGAGATCAGACGTGATTTCCAGATTTCTGCCCTCCGCTGGGGAAGGAGAGGTGGGGGTGCCGTTTGTTCCCCATGATGGGCACAGCTGAAGGGGACACAGCTCCGGGGGCTGGGCCCAAATTCCACAGAGGGCGTCATGAGACGAGCTGTCCCAGGAATGTGGCCGAGGCAGGCAGGCGGCCCTGAGCCTGGAGCTCTGGGGAGAAGCCTGGGCTGGCGTGCGGGCTTGGAGAGGCCGTGCTGGGGGTCCTGAGCCCTGGGAGGGGCCAGACTGCCCAGGGACAGGGGGAGCCCTTCCGCCGTGACGGCTGCAGCGCAGCGGTCACCCCCAACTTTCCCGGTGCAAAACCTCAGGCCCGCATGGAGGACCTGTATCAGCAACTCGGCCGGAGGCCTGGGAACCATTTCTTTAAAAAGGATGTTGAGAAGAGAGAGAGAGAGACATCGACGTGAGAGGGAAACATCAACGGGCTGCCTCCTGCACGCCCTGTACCAGGGATCCAGCCACCACCCGGGCACGTGTCCTGACTGGGAATCAAACAGGTCACTCATGGGTGTGCGGGATGACAGAGCGGCCTGGGGCTCTTGTCCCCAGGTGACTCTGAAGCAGGCTCAGGCGAGAACTGTCCCCCGCAGGTCCACGCGTACATCATCAGCTACCTGAAGAAGGAGATGCCTTCTGTGTTCGGGAAGGACAACAAGAAGAAGCAGCTGATCCTGAAGCTGCCCGTCATCTTCGCGAAGATTCAGCTGGAGCATCACATCTCCCCCGGCGACTTTCCCGACTGCCAGAAGATGCAGGTGCGGGCGCCTGGGGGCGGCAAGGGGGGCCGGGAAGGTCGGCTTCTGGGGGCTCTGGGACGGGGCCTTGGACACGGGAGGGATGCATGGCAGGTTCTGGGAAGCACTTCCTCCAAATGGTTCCGTGGGGACATGGTTTTCATGAGTTAGGATAAGGGAATGAAGGAACAAACAAACAAACAAACATCCCTGGCCAGTGTGGCTCAGCGGTTAGAACATCGGCCCGCAGACCAAAGAGTCGTCAAAGCTCAGGTTCAATTCAAGGGCATGTACCTTGGTGGCCAGGTTTGATCCCCAGCCCATCGGGGTCATGCGGGAGGTAACCCATCGATGAGTCTCTCTCACATCTCTCTATTCCCTCCCACTCTATCTGAAAAAAAATCAGTGGAAAATTATCCTTGGTGAGGATTAAAAAACAACAATAGCCTGGCCGGTGTGGCTCAGTGGTTGAGTGTTGTCCTATGTACCAAGAGGTTGCCAGTTTGATTCCCCGTCAGGGCACATGCCCAGGTTTCGAGTCGATCCCCAGGTGCAGGAGGATGTTCTCTCTCATCCATGTTTCTATCTCGGCCTCTCCCTTCCTCTCTCTCTCTAAAATTAATGAAGAAAAAATATTAAACAACAACAAATAACTGGCTTAATTAGGATAGAATTTTTATTTCTCTCCACATTTATTGGAAGTAGGGCTGGTTTGATGCTTCACAGACTAGGAACCCAATTCCTTTTCTTAGTTCCCCTTGGTGCCTGGCCTCCGGGCCCAAGAACCCCTCATGGTACAAAATGGCTGTGGAAACTCCAGCCCTTGTGTCTGCATTCCAGCCAGCAGAAGTGGGGAGGAGAGAGGTAGGGAAGCTAACCAGACAGTCTCTCTCTTTATTCTGTGCTGTCCAATATGATAATCACTAGCCACATTAGAACTGAACTTTTAGGTTGTATTTAATTTTAACTTTTTAAAATTTAAATAGTCACTGATGGTGCACTTATAACTTGTGCTGACATTCAATTGGCCAGAACTTAAGTCACTTGGCCTTGACCAATTGCAAGGGAAGCTGGGAAATGTAGTCTTTCCTCTAGGTGGCCAGGAACCCAGGTTACATTCAGGATTCCAGTACTGAGGAGGAAGGGACAAACGGATCTTAGCGGACGAATGGAGGGCTCCATTGTCCAGGCCTAGGACTAACCAGCTCTGGGCAAAGCGCGGGGCCTGCACGGGGTAAATGAGCTACTGGAGTAAGGTAGGAGTGACCGAATGAACGTGGAGGCAGAAGTCCAGGCCCAGGCGTGGAGGTGCGGACTCGCCCCTGCCCAGGCTGAGCCTTTCTGAGGCCTGATGCTTCAAGCCTGTGACCTCTGGGTCTGAGATGTCTCCAACCCAAGACTGAGGAGTTATGGTAGAGTGAATTTTGCCTTGGCCACTTTCTAGCCCCATGAACTTTGTTTCCTGGGCCTCAGTTTCTTCGAGCGGAAAATGGGCATCCTGACAGAATCTGATGGCCTCGAGCGCTAAATCAGCTGAGGCCTCAGCCCCCTTAGAACAGTGTCTGCCACAGAGGTTGGACTAGATCAAGGTTTTCAACGTTTGAGGCCAGAGAATTCTTCGTCACAGGATGTTTAGTGGCAACCTGGCCTCCAGTCGCCAGTAGCACCCCCAGCTGTGACAATCAATGTTTCTAGAGCTTGTCCTCTGTGTGTGTGTGTGTGGGGGCACCATCACCCCGGTTGAGAACTGCTGGGCTAGATAAATAGCAACTGTTAATATTTTTACAGTATTTTTTATTTCACTCCTCACTGAAGGATGTTTATTGATTTTAGAGAGAAAGGAAGGGGGTGGAGAGAGAGAGAGAGAGAGAGAGAGAGAGAGAGAGAGAAAGAGAGATTGATCAGTTGCCTCCCAGATGTTCCCCGACCAGGGATCAAACCCGCAACCTTTTTTGGTGCCCTCTAAATGAGGGGAGTGCTCCTTATCATCCTGTTTCACAAATGTGGAAACCGAGGCCCAGAGAGGTGCAGTCACTTGCCCAAGGACACACAGCTCCTAAGTGGCAGAGCTGACCATCCATGGCCACAATCCAGGGGTCTCTGCCTTGGCGTTGGAAATTGCTCCAAGTGATCCCAGTGAGCCCAGAGCTCACTTCCACATTGGCAGTGGGGCCCCTTAGCCCTTTCCGTGCTGTGGGGCAACAAGGCTAGCGGAGTGGCAGGAATTGCATTTTAACTTGCATTGCGGCAGCTGGGGTGCCAAGGGGGTGGACAGGGCTGAGAGCCCACTCTCCAGTGCTCTGGATGTCAAAATGTTGAAATATTCCCCTACCAGCTGGCAAATGCCGCTGCTCTGAGTCATGGGAGGTCCCCGAGCTCCCTGCTGTCCAGTGATGCTGACACGGGGAGGGACCCTGTTGCCCAAGTACCCTCGAGGGGAGGGTGTCGAACATGTCTGCACCTCTCGGTAAAGAGCTGCTATCTAAGTTGCTCAAGTGTCCTGGTGCTATCAGGGGCTGGGGGCCGTGGGGATGGTGCCCCCTGGCTTCTCGGTGACCCTCTTCCCTCCCGCATAGGAGCTGCTAATGGCTCACGACTTCACCAAGTTCCACTCCTTGAAGCCCAAACTGCTGGAGACCCTCGATGACATGCTGACACACGACATCGCCAAGCTCATGCCCCTGCTGCGGCAGGAGGAGCTGGAGAGCACCGAGGTGGGCGTGCAAGGTGGCGCTTTTGAGGGCACCCACATGGGCCCATTCGTGGAGCGAGGGCCCGACGAGGCCCTGGAGGATGGCGAGGAGGGCTCGGACGACGAGGCTGAGTGGGTGGTGACCAAGGACAAGTCCAAATACGACGAGATCTTCTACAACCTGGCGCCGGCCGATGGCAAGCTGAGCGGCACCAAGGCCAAGACCTGGATGGTGGGCACCAAGCTCCCCAACTCGGTGCTGGGGCGCATCTGGAAGCTGAGCGATGTCGATCGGGATGGCATGCTGGACGACGAGGAGTTCGCCCTGGCCAGCCACCTCATCGAGGCCAAGCTTGAGGGCCACGGGCTGCCCACCAACCTGCCCCGTCGCCTTGTGCCACCCTCCAAGCGGCGCCACAAGGGCTCCGCAGAGTGAGCCATCACTGCCTGCTGGTCCTCCCTCCCACTTGCCCTGCTGTGGCTCCCCAGCTTTGGTCAGCTGCACGCACATCCTCACCCTGGCCCACATGCACCCTGCCTGCCCACCTTCCCAGCTGTAAGGATGGGGGTCTCTCTACCCCACCCCACCAGACAGAGGGGACCAGGGGAGGGGCAAGACTTCTCTGCTCACCCTTCACACCTCTACCCACACATACATTTGGGCACATCACACTGACACTAACGCACACACACAGGCATCCATCCATTCACCGTTCAAGTATTTATTGAGCACCTACTACATTCTGTGTTTGGGGCTTGTTCTAGGCACTGGGGATTCCAGCAGAGAGCAAAACAGACATTCGTTAGCTGACACTCTCCGGAGAGAGCAGCTACTTGTCACTCAAACACACACAGACACACACCAGCCCTAACCAGTCGGCTCCTGAATTCCGGGCAGGGCCCCGCCCCTCCCCATAAATGAGCAGCCACTAGGTTGAAATGACTAATAGACAGCCCCTTGCCCCACTTCCTCTTGCCAACCCAGGCAAGGACCCCTCCCTCCATCATGTCCTCAGACTTTAGGACCACTGGGGACTTAGAGGGGACACACAACCTCCTACTTCTTCAGATGGACCCCTCTCAGCCCCTCCCTCCAGCTCTGGTCACACCCTACTTTAATAAGAATCTTCAGGGGACAGAAAAGCCCCCTGCTCCTTGCTCCAGACTGTGCCCACTTGGAGGTATTTATGTCCTCGTCCCGCCTGCCCCGGATTGAAAACCTAGCCTGGCTCCTCTCCCCCCTCCAGCTGGTGGTCAGAATTTGAGACTGCTGGGGCCCAGTCTCGCTGCCCATCAGTTCATATTTAAGTGGCGCCCCTACCAAATATAAAAGACCCCAGGGCTTTATTTTAGTCCCCTTTTCAGGGATGTCATGGGGGGACAAGCTCTTGGTGCTACAGCCCCCCCCCTTTCCCTATAGGGACCTCACCCCTCCGCCCTCTTCCTGCCCATATTAGTGCTTGACCCTGGGGGGGACCTCAAGGAAAAGGCAGGGAAATACAAAATAGATGCGGACGATGCCCCCTCCAGGGCGCTGGCTGGGATTCCCACGCTCACCATCCCCCCACCCCGTGCCTGGGCGGGGCCTGTGAACGGAATAGCGGCCCCGCCGCGAATAAAGCCAAGGCTTCTCTCCAGCGGCAGTCGGCTGTCTCGGGCCGGGCCGGGAGGGGGTCGCTCTGCTCCCGATCCCTGGGGAAGGAGAGCCTGGGGCAGGACTTGCGGGGGGGGGTGGGGTCCCCTTCAAGCTCTCGGGGACCAGGGTGGAGGCCATGACTCAATGCTGCGGAGCCTGATGACTCAGTCTGGGCTGGGGGCCAGACCGACATATTTTCCGCAGAAAAGTTACTCTGGAGCTCTCCCCCCCGGGACATCCCTCCCTCCCACCGCCCGCCGCGGGGGCCTGGGAACCGAGCCCTGGGGCGTGGGGTTGTGAGCGCGCGGGTTTGAGCACAACCTGCCCCGGCGCTGCCCGCCAACGTCCGCCCATCCACTGGGGTACACAGCTCCTGACACGTCACCCCGGGGCGGCGGGGCTCCAGGAGCGGAGGAGGCGCGCCTGCCCCCCGCGGCACCACGTGCGCGCGCGCTCAGCCCCAGGGACCCGGCCTTCGCCGAGCGGCCGACACACACCCAAGACCGCGCCCGCGGCGCCCGGGACACGGCGTCTCCGCGCCGCGCCCGCCCACGCGCGCCCGCTGTGGCGGCTCCCGGCGCCCTCTGGCGGACCTCGGGGGCTGGGCGGGCGGGGGGCCGAGCCCCGGGCCCAGTGGCGGGTGCTCCGGTCCCCAGGGCCACGGGCCCGGGCCCCGCACCTTCCCCAGGCTCTGCGCAAGGCTCCCGCCGGGCTCGCTGTGTGACTCCGCGCGGGGCTCCTGCCCTCTCTGTGCCTCCTTCCTTTCCGAGTCCAGAGCGGCCTGGACGAGGCCCTCCACACCTCGGCGGGTTGCCAGGGCCCAAGGGCCTCTGAGCTTCCTTCCTCGTTTGTAAACAGTTGGGATTGAGTCGAGTGGAGGATGGGGTTCAGGGGGAGGCGGGAACGGGGCTAACGTTTGGAGGCCAGGCGCACACTCCAGCGCTTGGTAAGACATCGTCTCTCGTAGTGTCAGGATAACCTGTGAGGCGGATGCACCGTCGTCGGCCCCATTTCCCATCCCCGTGTTACAGACGAGGAAACCGAGGCGCAGTGACGTGGTTCGCCCCAGGTGTCTGAGTGGGTGTGAGCTCCTAGAGTGCTCACAGCCCTCGCGTACACTTCTGGGCTGGCAACCGCGACATCCCGAAAGCTCCTCGACTTCCAGGATTAGCACAGGGGCCGCCAAGCCTTCCGAGACTGGGACGCGTCTGTGCGCCGAATCCGCCATGCATGATCCCGATGTTTCTTTCCTAAGGAAACTATTTTAAAAAATAATACTCAGATTTAAAAATATCCCCCGGGCGGCCGGGAAAGATGTTTGGCTAGGGCGAGAGCCAAGGCCCTAAAAGCCGTGGAGAACTGGAATCCGCAGAGGTGGGAGGAGCCATTCACCCTTTTTCAAGATGGCGGCCTCCGCGCCGCTTGGCGGCGATGGCCGCTTTACCAAGATGGCGGCCTCTGAGCCGCTTGGCCGCTTTGGCTACTTTACCAAGATGGCGGCCTCCGATGTAGGTCTCGGGAGTGCGTGGGGGAATGTGCGCGCGCATGCCCCAAACCGGATTTCCGCCGCCGGTGGCTGGGTTCTTCCTTTAACAAGATGGCGGCAGGAAGCAGTGGCGGTAGCGGCAAGGTCCGCTCGAAAAGCGAGGCTGATTCCGGCTTCCTGGGGCTGCGGCCCACTTCGGTGGACCCAGCGTTGAGGCGGCGACGGCGAGGCCCGAGAAATAAGAAGCGGGGCTGGCGGCGGCTCGCGGAGGAGCCGCTCGGGCTGGAAGTCGATCAATTCCTAGAAGACGTACGGCTGCAGGAGCGCACGAGCGGGTGCGTGGGGCGGGACTTCCGGCAGCTGGGCCACGTTCTGTGTGGTCAGGTGTTTGGGGTGCGGGGGACTTCCCTGGGTACCCCTGGGATAGCCGAGGGCAAGGTCTGGGCACTCTGGGTGGGTGGTTGGGGCACTGGGTAGGGTTACCAGGTACAGGACACCTAGTTAGATTTGAATTCAGGTAAACACGGCACTTCTAGTGTGTGTATGTCCTCTACATCCACCCTAGCATAGTGAATCTCCAGTATTCACTTCTGTAAACTGACGGGAGAAGCCTTAGCCTGAAGGGCGGCAAGAGGAGGCTTGAATGAGCATAAGGGAAAGCTGGGCGCTGCCTGCGAGGTTAAACCTACTCCTTCCCCAGCCTCTGTGGCTGACATTCTGTATTTCTCTCTCCCAGTGGCTTGATATCGGAGGCCCCCGATGAGAAACTCTTCTTCGTGGACACTGGCTGCAGGGATAGAGGTGAGGAAGGGCTCTGTGGTGTTGCAAGGAATGGATTGGTCGTGGTCTGGCCCACCTCAGCCCCTGAGAGTGTCTGTTGACAACATGGCTCGGAAGGCAAGCACCTTCCAAAAAGGGGCTTTACTATAAACAAGAGGATCTGGAATGAACAGAAAGTAGGCTACTAACTTAAAGAAGCCAGTTTCCTTTTTGAGGTATTAGAGAGCTCAGTGCCCAAAAGCCAGCCTTGATGAGTAGATGAGATATAAAATAGCAGGGGCTCATTACCCTGGTCGATGTGTCTCAGCAGGTAGAGTGTCCGCAGAGCACAAAGGACCTCAGGTTCTTTTTCCTGTCAAGGGCATGTACCTGGGTTGCAGGTTCGATCCTGGCCCCAGTCGATTGATGTTTCTTTCTCATAGATGTCTCTTACCCTCCCTCCCTTTCATTCTCCCTTAAGAAAAAAAAAACAAAAACCCTGGCCGGTTTGGCTCAGCAGTTAGAGTGTTGGCCCGCGGACCAGAGAGTCCCGGGTTCGTTTCCCGCTAAGGGCACGTACCTCGGTTGCAGTTTGTCCCTGCCCCAGTTGGGGTTGTGTGGGTGGCAACCACTTGGTGTGTCTTTCTCACATCGATGTTTCTCTCTCTTCCTCTCTCTCTCTCTGTCTCTCTCTCTCCCTCCCTCCCTATCTGAAGATAAATGCAGAAATACCCTGGGGTGAGGATTAAAAAAAAAGAAAAATCAATGGAAAAAATATTCCCGGGTGAGGACTAACAACGAAAAATGGCAAGGCTCATTAATTTGCTGAAAAGCAACGAACCTGCTATAAGGAAGTAATCAGGCCAGTTTTTGTTAATAAGATATACTTTAGTAAGAAGTAGAGGACTCTTTTTTTTTTTTTTTTTTTTTTTTTATCCTCAGCTAAGGACCTTTTTGCATTTATCTTCAGGTAGAGCGGGGGTGGGGGGGAGAAACATCAATGTGAGAGAGACACATCGAGTGGCTGCCATCCACACGGCCCCGGTTGGGTTCAGGGACAAACTGCAACCGAGGTACGTGCCCCCAGCGGGAACCGAACCCAGGACTCTCTGGTCCGCAGGCTGACGCTCCAACCGCTGAGCCAAACTGGCCAGGGCTAGAGGACCCACTTTAACAAGTGGGTGAAAAACTTGTCTTAACCTGCTAGTTATAATTTGCCAAAGTACAGGCTTAAGACACGTTGAAACAAGTGGAGAAGTGAGTTAGGGATTGTTAGGGTGTATGTCAATATCCGGAAACAGATTAAGAACAGGCAGTCTGCTTTCACGAGGGGACAGAGAGCAAGCTGAGGGGTCTGCCTTCATGGGAAAACTGGTAGCTTTGATGAGCAGGTGGCAAGCTGCGGTAGCAGCAGGACAACCTAACGATCAGAGTTGAGATCAGCCAAGGGACCTGTTCTCACCTAAGTGAGCGGAGCCGTTTCAGTGAGCAGAAAAGGAGTGAAAGGGCCTGCTCTCGGGCATAGGAGACTCAGCGAGCAGGTTGCAAAGGGTTGTTGAAGAGGACGGCTTTCACAGAGGTCCTAGATCTGGCTGCAGACCAAGGGGGAGTCAGGACCTGCCCTAGTGAGCAGGCGAGGAAGTAGTGAAGGCTGCTGTGGCCGCTGGGAAGTCTGGGGAAGGGGGGGGGGAGGGGGACAGTGTACAGAGTCTGCTTTAGGTTGAAAGGGAGGTGGGAAGACAGTGATTTTTGCACTTTCACAGGTGACCTCTGCTTTACATCCACACAGCCCTGTGAGGTAGGCATTTAGGAAGTCAGTTTTGCCAGGTCCAGGGTAAACAGAAGGATGCGGATTTGGTTCCGGAGAGTTTTGTCCTGGACTTCTTGCTGTTCATTACATGTTAGGTCTTAGAAGTAAAAGGCAGAAAACCCTGTTGTGCTGAGGAACACCCTGGGCCTCAGTGTCACCAGGCACCTGCTTTCTTCCTTGTTACTGTTACTGGTTCTGCGGCCATTTCCCTGCTGTGTCTGGAAGCCTCTTGTGGGCAGGGCTGTGGGTCTGACTCCTGTGTGTCCCCAGCACGGGGCTGCATCCAGCTGGCCCAGGAAATGGGTGTGGTGGAGCGCAGAGCTTGGGCACCATGGGCCCTGCCCTCGGGGCTTCTTCAGATGGGGGCCTGGAGTCAGCCTGGGGCCCCCAAGACTGGGCTGGGGTGCAGGTCCGATGGAAATGAAGTGTGGTTGGGGAGTTGGTCTCGGGCCACGAGGAGGCCTGAGGCCTTGATTCTCCTTTCTCCCACTCCCAGAGCTGAGCAAGAAGAGGACCAAAGGCCGGAAAAAGTCACTGCTCCTCAAGAAACCCCTTCGGGTTGACGTCATTTTAGAGAACACGTCCAAGATCCCTGCCCCCAAAGAGTAAGCGTCCCACGCCTCGGACCCTTCTTTGCCCACTGCACTTGGGCCTCCTGCTTCTTCTGCAGGAGTCCTTTCTCACTGTCAGACCCTAAAGAAATCGCTGGGGAGGGGGTGGGGAGGGTCACTTGGAGGGCAGGGATGGGTTCAGCTTTGGGCTTTGGAGATCGGATTGGAGGGAGTGAGGCAGGGCCTGGGTGCTGTGGCTGAAGCAGACGAGGATGAGGCCTGGATCTGCCCAGGGCTCCAGGGAGGGAGAGGAGGGCATGGGTGGGAACCATCATCAGGAGGTGGGTCAGGTGGTGGATGATGGGGGGCCGGCTCTGAGATGGGAATATGGGGGAACTGGCTTTGGGGACAGGGTCGTGTGGTGTGTTAGGTGCCTGGGAGACATCCAGGGCCAGGGCCCCAGAAGCATTGTTTTGTTGGGTCTCGGGCTCGGAAAGACCTGGGAGATGTTCTCTGAACCTGCTGCACAGAGTGAGGAGTGGGAGGAGCTAGGAGGGAGCTGGTTCTTGGAGGGTGCTGGAGGGGCTGCCGGAGGAGCCGCGCTTCCCAGGCCTCTACCTCACCCACTTCGCCTGTGCGGCTTCCCCCCCCAGCATCCTCGCCCACCAGGTCCCCAATGCCAAGAAGCTCAAGCGGAAGGAGCAGTTATGGGAGAAGTTGGCAAAGCAGGGCGAGCTGCCCCGAGAGGTGCGCAGGGCGCAGGCCCGACTCCTCAGCCCTCCTGTGGCCAAAGCCAAGCCCGGGCCCCAGGACACTGTGGAGCGGCCCTTCTACGATCTCTGGGCCAAAGACAGTGAGTGCCCCTGTTGTCACCTGTGCATGTTGTCGGAGGGGGGCCCTGCGGGTGCTTGGATGACCTTCAGCAGAGTTGGGGGTCTTGAGTGGTGCCCTTTTCCCGTTCGTGCTGGGCTTCCCTGCCCCTCAGCCTTCGGGCTCTCCTGCCTTCCCGGCCCCACCAGGTGCTTTTAGCCTGGCGTTCGATGCCCCTCAGGGTCACAATCACTTCCTCCCTCGCCCGTGCTTCAGAGCATGTTTGTGCAGCGGGGAGGGTCGGGGAGCCACGGGGATGCCCCACCCTGGACAGCCCCCCGGAGCTGCCCTCCCTGCCTCCACAGACCCCCTGGAGCGGCCGCTGGCTGGCCAGGATGCGTTTTTCCTGGAGCAGACCAAGAAGAAAGGAGTGAAGGTGAGACTGTCCGAGTGGCGACCTGAGTGGTCGAGGTCAGGGGAGGGGCCGGGAGCAGGGGGGCAGCTCTGCATTGGGGCGAAGGGCCCAGGCCTCAGAGCCGTCCACCCTGTGACGTGGGCAGCGCCTCAAAGGGAGAGCCAGGTGCTTTAGGGAAGGTCGGAAAAGCGTTACAGAGAAGGTGGTGCTGACACGTTAGGGACCTGGGCGAGCCTCTAGGCCAGGGAAGGAGGAGCAAGTTGGAGGAGCCTGCAAGGTGGGAGAGGCAGCTGAGGTTTCAGTTTCACTCTGCAGGTGTTTTGTGTGGGAGAGGGTGGGAACCCCGCCCCCAGGAGGTGGGGCTGAGGCGGAAGGGGGAAGGGGGCAATTGGGTGTGGGGAGATGAGGGCAGGGTGTCCAGGGTGACCTGCGGGGTTCTGCTGGAGACTGGGGGCCTCTGCTGGGGAGGCCAGATGGCAGAGTTGAGGAAAGTCTTCAAGTGGAGGTGCTGGGGTGCTGCTCCCCGAGCGAGCACTCGAGTCTCTGGGTCTCGTTAAGATGAAGAGAGCCCTAGCCAGGCGGCTCGGTTGGTTGGCGCGTCGTCCCGTATACTGAAAGGTGGCGGGTTAGGTTCCCAGTGGGGGCACTTACCCAGGTTGTGGGTTCGATCCCCATTCAGGCATGTGCGGGAGGCAACAAACCGATGTTTCTCTCATTCTCTTTCTCTTCCCCTCGCCCCCTTCTCCCTTCCTCCGTAAGATCAATTTTTCAAAAAAGATGCAGAGGTCCAAGTGGACCCAGGATTGTGTGTTTTTTACAAGGTCCCCAGGGGATCGAGGCTGCACTGTGAGTCTTCGTCAGGCATGCGCTGCTCTGACAGACCCTGCGGCAGATTTTAGAGTGACGGGATGCGGTGACTAAAGTCAGACCTGCTGGACCACGTTTATACAAGTGTCACCCATCCCCGCCCGCCGTGGGGGTCACAGGGAGTTGTCTCAGGAAAGGTGGGCAGAGCCTCTGCCTGCAGGGAGCTTGCTGGTCCTGGGGATGCCACTCCTGGGGGAACCGCATGTCCGTTGTCCCGGACGCGGGATCCCACAGCACCTAGCTTGGCGGCTGTGGGCCTCGCGAGGCATCTGCCAGACCTGAGCCTGGAGCCCCAGCCGTGCAGCTGTGAGGACGTGAGGGCCCGTGCTCCTGGCCTTATCCCGCTTTGGTTTTCGTCCAGCGGCCGCCGCATCTCCACACCAAGCCGTCCCAGGTGCCTGCCGTGGAGGTGACACCCTCCGGAGCCTCCTACAACCCATCCTTTAAGGACCACCAGGTACACAGCCCTCTCCTCACTCGGTGCCTAGCTGCTGGGTTGGCATTCTCTCGCCTGGCACTTTCTCCATGCCCACCAGGAGCTGGGGACTCAGCAGTGACTGAGTTAGTCCCGGGCCTGCCCTCCTGGGGTTCACAGTCCAATGGAGGAGGCAGACTTCTTCGGGACAGTGACAACCCAGGTGGTCAGGGTTGGGAAGGGGGATCCCAGACGGGTCGCCAAACCCAGCCTTGGTAGTCAGGAGGGCTTCTTGGAGGAGGGGACAACAGCTGAAAATGAGGGTGAGTTTGCTGTGGGAAGGGAATGGGAATGTCAGGCAAGAGGCCCAGAGGTGAGTGAGTCCCTGGCGCCTTTCGGGAAGCTCTCAGTGTAGATGCAGAGGGCAGGATGAACTCTTAACAGACAGACCAGGGGGGAGTATCCAAGGCCCAAGGTTGTGCAGCAACAGGAAAACCTGGCTGTGAGCGTCACTGGGTTCATTTCACAGACGTTTGTTGAGCACAGGTGGTGTGAACAGTGGGGACACACCCCTGCCCTCGAAGAGCGTGTTCCTGGAGAGAAATCGAGGTCACTGAGTAGATGCAGGGACACGCGAGTGCTGTTCCTTGTCGTTCACGAGTAGAGGGTCTCGTAGCCAACGGGAGCAGAAGCGGTGGGCCGCACGCCATGACGGTGTCCACAGAAACGGACACCGGGCACCGGATGGTGGGAGGGTGAGCTTGGCTGACCCAGGAGGAGGCTGCCAGCTGCGGGCTGCTCCTCGCTGGACAGACGTGGGCAGCATGGTGCTGGGGAGGAGGAGGAGTCAGGCCAACGGTCGTTTCTTTAGAAATCTGTACCGCTTTGCGCAGATCTACTCCTGGGCCATGTGACCCGCCCACTGACAGGGCACATCTCTGGTTTCAGTACATTCCCTGGGCCCTGTAGCCTCACAATTTCAGAACATTTTCATCACCCCAGGGAGAAATGCCAGGCCCATCGGCTGTCATCCCCGTCTGGTCTCCCGCAGTCTTTGGCAGTCGTCATGCTCTTTCTTGTCTGTGGATTTGCCATTTCTGGGTGTTTGTGTAAATGAAAGTACGATGTGTGGAAACCAGACTGTCCTTGAAGGGAACTGGCAGAGAAGCCAGGAGCCCCCTCTGGCCGCCGTGGGGAGGGCGGGATGAGGCTGTCACTGGGGAGCCAGGGGGGAGGGGCTAGGGTATTGGGGTGGGGGCCAGATCTGTAACTCCCAGGAGAGGCCCTGGGGACTTGGTCCTCACCCCACCCCTGCCCTCCCAGACCCTGCTCTGGGAAGCTCACGAGGTCGAGCTGCAGCGACAGAAGGAGGCGGAGAAGCTGGAGCGGCAGCTGGCCCTGCCCACCGCGGAGCAGGCCGCCACCCAGGTGAGCCCACGCTTGCCACCCTCTCCTCCTTCCCAGCCTCCCCCTGGCCCGCCCCTGACACCCTCCCTCTCGCCCAGGAGTCTACATTTGAGGAGATGTGCCAGGGGCTGCTGGAAGAGTCAGATGGGGAGGGGGAGCCAGGCGAGGGCCAGGACAAGGGGCCTGAGGTGGCCGGAGACCAAGCTGGAGGGGACCAGGCTGGAGAAGACCAGGCCGGGGGAGGCACAGCTGCCCGCCTGTCTGCTGTGGAGAAGAAGACGGAGCAGCAGCGCCGGCGGGAGAAGGCCGCCCGGAAGCTGGTGAGCACGTGGGCTCGGGTCTGCTCTCCTGCTCCCGCTGCCTGTTTCCCAGCGGTCGGGGGACGGCAGTGCGGGGCGGGCCAGACCAGGGTCCTGCTGCCTGTCCGGGGGGCAGGCCAGACCAGGGTCCTGCTGCCTGTCCGGGGGGCAGGCCAGACCAGGGTCCTGCTGCCTGTCCGGGGGGCAGGCCAGACCGGGGTCCTGCTGCCTGTCCGGGGGGCAGGCTAGACCGGGGTCCTGCTGCCTGTCCGGGGGGCAGGCTAGACCGGGGTCCTGCTGCCTGTCCGGGGGGCAGGCTGGAGCAGGCTAGACCGGGGTCCTGCTGCCTGTCCGGGGGGCAGGCTAGACCGGGGTCCTGCTGCCTGTCCGGGGGGCAGGCTAGACCGGGGTCCTGCTGCCTGTCCGGGGGGCAGGCCAGACCGGGGTCCTGCTGCCTGTCCGGGGGGCAGGCTAGACCGGGGTCCTGCTGCCTGTTAATGGGTGAGGAAGGTTGTTTCGGGAAACCACGGTTGTGAAGAAACTAGAGTCGCTGGCCTGTTGTGACCTGGGCTCAGGTGGCCAGGAAGGAGTCCTGTGGGAAGTGGCGTTGGAGGGGCCCGGGTAGAGACAAGGCCCGCAGGGCAGGTGGCCCCGCGCTGAGCCCTGACTCCAGCTGTCCCTGCAGCGGGTACAGCAGGCCGCAGTGCGGGCCGCCCGGCTGAGGCATCAGGAGCTCTTCAGGCTGCGTGGCATCAAGGCCCAGGTGGCACAGTGGCTGGTGGAGCTGGCACGGCGGCGGGAACGGCGGCGGGCACGGCGGCTGGCTGAGGCCAACAAGCCCCGCAGGCTGGGGCGGCTCAAGTAAGGCCTGGGCTGGGGCCCCGGGGCAGGTTGGGAGGGGTCCTGATCAGCCTGGCCCCCTGCGAGACTGTCTTTCTCCCAAAGCGCCAAGTCCTCAGAGGCCCGCTGCCCAGCCCCTCTTCCCCGGGAGGGGATTTTGGGCTCTGTACCCTGGTCCAGGACCCTAGCTCCCTGCCCTGTCCTCCAGGTACCAGGCCCCTGACATCGATGTGCAGCTCAGCTCGGAGCTGTCTGACTCGCTCCGGACCCTGAAGGTACTTGGCCAGCTGGGTGTTGAGGGAGGTTCTATAAGGGAGAGCCAGTGCCCAGTGATGACACCCATCCTTGCTCCCCGTGCCCCCTGCGGGCTGTGGGCGACACCATGGCTGCCCCCAGGCTGGGCCGGTTGGGCTGATGCCTGGGGGCTGAGGGCACAGGGCCCCAGATTGCGGTCCCCATGGGGTGTGGGGCTGGGTGATGTGATGATTTGAACCTCTGACCCTCAGGCCTTTCCTCCCAGCCAGGTCCCATACAGCCCCTGGTCTCCTGCCCACAGGGGTCACTGTAAAGCTCAACATGGACCTTGTCCCTTCCCCACTCAGAACCTTCCATGGCTCCCCAGCGCCCCTGGAGGAAGCCCAGTTTCCCAGCCGGCCCAGGCCCTGTGTGGTCGGGCCTGCCTCGGCGCAGCCCCGTGCTTCACCTGTGGGCCTGCCGTGCCTTCTCTGACCGGCCTCGCCTCGCTGCTCCCTCGGCCTGCACACCCTCTTCCCTCCCCGGCCTCCTCCCGGGTTCCTCCACGCCAGTTCAGAGGCAGCCATGGGTCGGGACCAGCCGCCCCACGAGCTCAGGCTCAGCCGTGCCCCTGGTGCCCGAGGCAGGCTGGGTCTGTGCTGACGGGAAGCCTGCAGGGGACTGGCCTCCACCGGAGCCCTGGCTGGACCCTCCTGAGAGGTCAGAGGCCCTTGGGGTTCTGCTGACATCTTCTCTGTGTCCCGCAGCCTGAGGGCAACATCCTCCGAGATCGGTTCAAGAGCTTCCAGAGGAGAAACATGATCGAGCCCCGGGAGAGAGCCAAGTAAGGGCGTCCGTGTGGGTGGGGCTCCCACACCTTGTGGGCTCCCGGCGCCGACCGCTCTTCTCTCTGCAGGTTCAAGCGCAAGTACAAAGTGAAGCTCGTGGAGAAGCGGGCGTTCCGGGAGGTCCAGTGAGTGCCGCCCCTCCTTCCCGGGCGTCCCTGGGTCCCCGGGCCCATCCCAACCTCAGTGACGGGCCAGTGGTTGAGGGCCAGCCCTCCAGGTGCACCTGAACCCAGAGTTGGGGCAGGAGGGTCCCCAAAAAGAAACAGAAGGACCCAAACCAGAGGGGTGTGTCAAGTGGGTGAGAACATGGGGCCCCCACTCCCCTCGGCCCTCCTCAGCCCCCCTCCTCTGTCCCCAGGTTGTAGCTGATGCTGGATGCTGGAGCCCCCCCAGCCCCTTTCAATAAAGCACCTTCGGACCACCTGGGCCTCGTGTGTCACTTGTCCCTGCTGTGGGCAGCTTCTCTCTGTCCGCCCCTCCAGCACTCAAGGATGTGAATTCTAGAACCTTCGTCTCTGCCAAAGGGCCCATCCCTTGGGCGAGGTGGGGAACCATCCCCAGAGTGAGGAAGGTCCGAGAGAAGATGGGGTGGGCCGGCTGGCCACACCTGGATCACTGACGGGGTGCAGCCCACTGCTCCGCCCCGATGAGAGACCGGTCGCATTGGTGGTGGCAGCAGCTGACACTGACTGTGCCGGGCAGATGGAGACACTCGTGAGCCCTCAGGCCGCCCACTAAGGAGGGCCAGCCTTACCCCATTTTGAAGGTGAGGAAACGGAAGCGCTCAAGGGGGTAATTTTCCTCCCCACACACACCTATTTAATGTTTTTGGAAACCTTAATTCTACGAGTAATAAAGGGCTGTGTTCTCACTGTATGTAAGTCATTGATGTGGTGCAAAAAACCATGCCTGTCGTCCTTGACCTTTGCCCTCCACTCAAATCCTCTCCTCTGCAGAGGTGGTTGTCGCTGCAGTTTGGGGTGAAGGGTGACGCTGTGCCCCATGCACTGCTATTAAACATACTTGTCCACGTGAAAATAGAGTTATTCTTCGTTTTTCTGTGTCAGGTAGAATCGTACCATACGTGGTTTCTAACTTGCTCTTTGGTGCATCTTAGAGAACTTTTAGCCTCAACGAGGCTCTTCCTCATTCTCACCGCTGCACAGACTTCCGCTGTACGCGTCGTACTGTCACTCAAGGCCGCCCAGCTCCTGGTGACGCTGGGGTGGACAGTTGTACACGTTCCTTCTATCTTGCATGTGTCTGTAAGACTAGCCTGGAAGCGAATCTCTGGCCTGAAGGGAAAATACATCCAAGGGGTCATTTGGTGGAGTCAGCCCAGCTGTTCTCTGTAGGCCCTGCTGGTTTTCATCCTCTGGGACAGAGAAGATCTCACTGGGCGCCTGGCAGACCCCAGGGCCTCTGACCTCTTCAGGAGGGTCCAGCCAGGGCGCCAGTGGAGGTCAGTTCCCTGCAGTCTCCCTGTCGGCACAGGAGCCCACTTGGTTGCTTGTGGCGTCACCACTGTGACCCTGCTGGGTTTATTTCTACATGCTGGGTTGCCAGTGAGGTCAAGTGTCTCGGGATCCCTGGCAATTTCCTCTTCTGTGCAGGTTCAACCCTTTTGACCATGTTCTTCCTGGCCTGTTTGTCATTTTCTTGTTTATTTGTAGCGGCTCTTTATTTATTATAGATCTGAAGTCTGTCATACATGTTACAAATGTTTCTCCCAGGCTATTCCTTTTGACTTTGATGTTGTATCTTCTGTTAGAAGTGTTCAGTGCATTTCAGCGCCTTTAGTTTTCTGTTAATCTTTCTATGTTTTGTGTTTTTTTTTAGGTTTTTTTTATCCTCACCTGAGGACATTTTTCCATTTTTTGTTCAGATAGAGTGGGAGGGAGAGAGAGAGAAACATCGACGTGAAAGGGACACATCGAGTGGCTGCCACCCACACGACCAACCAGGGCCGGGGACAAACTGCAACCGAGGTACATGCCCTTAGCGGGAACTGAACCCGGGTCTCTCTGGACCTCAGGCCGACGCTCTAATTGCTGAGCCAAACTGGCCAGGGCTGTTTTTTATTTTTTATTTTAAAAATATTTTTCTTACTGAGTTTAGAGAGAGAGGAAGGAAGAGTGAGAGAAACATCGATTGGCCGCCTCCTGCACGCCCCCCACAGGGGATCGGGCCCACAACCTGGGCATGTGCCCTGAGCAGGAATCAAACCTACGACCTCTTGGTGCATGGGTCGATGCTCCACCACTGAGCAATACCGGCCAGGCTCTTTCTCTTGTTTTTTACTGCAGCCATTTGGAAAGGTTTTTCCAGGACAAGATTATTTATAAAAACAGCAAGCAATTTTGAAAAGAAATCGATGGGACAGACTAATGTCACAGCCTCCCCCCACGTCCTGTAAAGCATCACAACTTTAAGGAACTGCCTCCCTCTCCTGTCTTAAAAATAAAAAGCAAGGCGTACAGACAAAACAGCTTGGGGCGGGGGGGTGTGGACGGGAGAGACCGGATGGTAGGTTGAGGTAAAAATGAAAGCCACTTGGTGTCTGCTAACGACTCCTAAGGCCCGGCCTCCGGCCCAGTGAACCCATCCCGGGGAATGAGTGACGGAACCTGCTGGAAGAGGTGGCCATCAGCGCATCCGTTGAATTGGTGGGGGTGAGGTGGTCACGGCTACTGCAGGGCCGATGCTGCAGCCTGAACACAGGCGGAGTCTGCAGGAAACCCTCTGTTTTATCGCCCGGGGCAATGTGTCTTCCCCTGTGTACAGAAATCAGGTTCTGTGGCAAAGGCGCCTAGGTGTTTTATTGCACATCGGTTACATTTCACATCCAAATTTTACAGCAAAAGAAAAATACTTGGAAGTGCTGAACTCGAGCTAAATCATTTACAAGCTGAACGGATCCCTGCACCTTCCTTTGAAGTGCATAAAACAATAGGGGATGAATGGACGGATGGGAGATGGACAGGTGCCCAGAGGCATCAAAACCAAGTCCAGTGAAATGCGAAGGGCCGCGCGTAGGTGGAGGGGTTGACAGAGCTCATCGCCAGTCATTACAGGGAGAAAGGCAGGCGGGATGCAGTGAGATGCTAATGGAGCCTAAGTTTTGGCCACTTGTTAGTGCTGGGTTCATCTAAGGCCCTATGCCTCTTTTGGAATGTGTAACTTATTTTTCCTAAAGCGGGTCCCCCAAACTGGAAAGCCTCAGGCACCCCAAAATCTGGACCTGCCGATGTGATAGAAAACAAATCGAAAGGACTACCCACCATTGGGGTCATCGATACTGCAGAATGAGCGCCACTTAACCCTTTCAAAGGATGGAGGTCCTCTGAAGGCAGCAGCTTAGACTTGTTAAGAGTACAGATTTGGCCCTGGCCGGTTGGCTCAGCGGTAGAGCGTCAGCCCGCGGACCAATGAGTCGCGGGTTCAATTCCGATCAAGGGCACGTACCTCAGTTGCGGTTTGCCCATGGCCCTGGTTGGGGTCGTGCAGGAGGCAACCAGCCGGTGTGTCTCTCTCATGTCAATGTTTCTCTCTCCCTCCCACTCTATCTCCTTTTTTTTTTATCCTCACCCGAGGATATTTTTCCATTTTTTGTACAGATAGAGTGGGAGGGAGAGAGAGTGAGAAACATCGACGTGAAGGGACACATCGAGTGGCTGCCACCCGCAGGGCCAACCAGGGCCGGGGACAAACCGCAACCGAAGTACGTGCCCTTAGCGGGAACTGAACCTGGGTCTCTCCGGACCGCAGGCCGACGCTCTAACCGCTGAGCCAAACTGGCCAGGGCTCCCTCCCACTCTATCTGAAGATAAATAGAAAAGTATACTTGGGTGAGGATTAAAACAATCACAAAGGATGGTCTGAAATGAAAACTTAAAAAAAAAAGCTCGGATTTGGGAGCCAGCGTCCTGATTTCAAATCCCAGCTTGGTTCCGTATCAGCTGTGTGACCCTGGGAAGGTCACCCTCTCTGCTTCAGGGTCCCCCATCCGCAAAATGGACATCACGATAGTACCCCCTCACCCTGGTTTGTCACAGGGACTCTGTATGAACGCACTTGGATAGGGCCGGCACAGGGCAAGCCCTCAATGAGTGTTTGCTGTTAAAACAATGTTCGGAAAGAAACAAACTGCTTTTAAAAAAAAAAAAGCATGGAAACTTGCGATCCGTGCCAAAGACCCTCACAAAGACTTTACCTTTTGGCCCGCTGATTGCACTCTTGGGAACGTGCCCTAAGGAAACGGCCGGAAGCTCGGGGACAGCACGGAGGAGGCAGCGCTCCGTGCAGAATGGGAGGAAACGTGGGAACGCGCCTGGGCGCACCGGCCGCCCCTGGACGGAGGCCTCCGTGGCCGTCACCGCGGGGGCGGGACGCACGTGTAATAGCCGGGACTTGTTTGTGTTCTGGGCTTTGTGGGAAAAGCAGACAGGTCTGGCACAGTCCACACTGGGGCTCATCAGCCTGACCCTGGGCCCGAAGTCTCTGGGTGGGGGATTCCAGGGGCTGCTTTCTCCTTCCTGCGACTTTTTCCAGTGTCGTCAACTTTTCTATAATGGAGATGACTTATTTTTTTAAATAGTTTTTTTTTTTAAAAAAAAAACCTGATAAGGAGAGAGAGAGAAACATTGCCTGGTTGCATGGAGAAAACTTTAAAAAAAAAATAGGAATTCAAATTGTGGGTGAAGATTCCTCAGTGTACGCAGAGACGGCTGCCCTGTGCTACTGGGAAGATCAGAAACAGGCCAAATGTAGGGCAGTGAGAAATGGGTTTTGTGCCCGGCTGGTGTGGCTCAGTGGTTGAGCATCGACCCGCGCACCAAGAGGTTGCTGGTTCGATTCTGGTCAGGGCACGTGCCCAGGTTGTGGGCTAAATCCTCAGTGGGGGGCGTGCAGGAGGCGGCCAATCGATGTTCTCTCTCATGGATGTTTCTGTCTCTCTCTCCCTCTCCCTTACTCTCTCTCTAAAAAATCAATAAAGAAAAAAATTTATCCCTGGCCAGTTTGGCTCAGCAGTTAGAGCTTCGGCCTGCGGTCCAGAGAGACCGGGGTTCGGTTCCCGCTAAGGGCATGTACCTCGGTTGCGGTTTGTCCCCAGCCCCGGTTGCGTTGTGTGGGTGGCAGCCACTCGATGTGTCCCTTTCACGTCGATGTTTCTCTCTCTCCCGTCTTCTCTCTCCCTCCACCTCTATCTTAACAAAAAATGAAAAAAATGTCCTCGGGTGAGGATAAAAAAAAAAAAAAAAAGAAAAAGAAATGAGCTTTGACAAGTGGGATGTCTGCATTGGGGATACTTCACTACCATTTAAGAAAATGGCAGTTTTTGGAAGAACTTTTAGTGATCTGGGAAAATACTCACGATCTGTCTCAACCTGTTAAATGAGGGGAGGGGCACAACATGACACATTTATACACAGTTTAAAATGTGTATAAACACACAGGCAGAGAAGGCACCAGGGTGGTGTGCACTGGGGTTAACAGGGACCACACCTGGGGGGGGGGGTGAATGATGGATTGTTACTGTGGATCCCCAGGAAGAAGACACCTACTCAGAAGGACTCCTGGTGTCTGAGCTCAACTTTTAAAAAACAGCCCAGCAGCCATTTCTACACAGGGCCCTCCCATGCAAACAGCTCTTCCCGGAGAAGCCTGCACTGACCTGCCCGCCTGCACTGACCTGCCCGCCTGCACTATCTGCCATCTGAGCCAGTTCTTTTTTTTTTTTTTATCCTCACCCGAGGATAAAAAAATTTTTTCATTTTTTGTTCAAATAGAGCGGGAGGGAGAGAGAGAGAAACATCGATGTAAAAGGGACACATCGAGTGGTTGCCACCCGCACGACCCAACCAGGGCCGGGGACA